TCTGTCTGTCTGTCCATTCATCTGCCCATACAGCTGCCCATCCGTGTGTCCGTCCATCCATCCGTCTGTCCGTCCGCCCGTCCATCCCGGTGTCTGTCTGTCTGTCCATTCGTTTGTCCATCCAGGTGCCCGTCCATCCGTTTGTCCATCCATTTTTCTGTCTGTCTGCCCATCCAGCTGTCTGTCTGTCTGTCTGTCCGTTCGTCTGCCCATCCAGCTGCCCATCCATCCGTCCGTCTGTCCTTCCATCCAGGTGCCCATCCTTGTGTCCGTCCATCCATTCGTCTGTCTGTCCGTCCGTCCATCCAGCTGTCTGTCTTTCCTGTCTGTTTGTTTGTCTGCCCACCCAGGTGCCCATCCGTGTGTCTGTCTGTCTGTCCATCCCAGTGTCTATCTGTCAATCCCGGTGTCTGTCTGTCCATCCATCCGTCCTTCCATCCATTGTTTCTGTCCATCCATCCCGGTGTCTGTCTTTCCTGTCTGTCCGTCTATCCGGCCAGGTGCCCATCTGTCTGTCTGTCCATCCATTCGTCTGTCTGTCCATCCAGCTGTCTGTCTGTCTGTCCGTCCATCCGTCCATCCAGGTGCCCATCCGTGTGTCCGTCCATCTATTTGTCTGTCTGTCTGTCTGTCCATCCCATTGTCTGTTTGTCCATCTGTCCTTCCATCCAGGTGCCCATTCATGTGTCTGTCTGTCCATCCATCCCTCCATCTGTCCATCCACCTTTGTGCCCATTCGTGTGTCTGTCCGTCCATCTGTCCGCGTCTGCCCATCCCGTCCATCTGTCTGTCCATTCATCCATCTGCCTGTCTGTCCAGGTGCCCGTCTGTCTGTCTGTCTGTCCATCCGGGTGCCCATCCATGTGTCCGTCCGTCCATCCGTCCATGTCTGCCCGTCCAGGCGCCCATCCGTCCATCTGTCCGTCCATCCAGGTGCCCATCTGTCTGTCTGTCTGTCCTTTCGCCTGGCTGTCCAGCTGTCTGTCTGTCCATCTTTCCGTCTGTCTGTCCATCAATCCGGGTGCCCGTTCGTCTGTCCGTCTGTCCGTCCGTTTGCCCGTCCAGATGTCCACCTGCCTGTCCGTCCGTCTGTCCGTCCAGGAGGCTGTCTGCTTGTCTGTCTGCTTGTCCCTCTGTCCAGCTGTCTTTTCGTCCGTCAGTCTGTCCGTCCTTCTGATTATTCCTGTCTGCCCGGTTGTTCCTTTGTCTGTCTGTCTGTCTGGTTCTTCGACTCTCCCTCCGTCCGATTGTCCCTCTGTCCGTCTGTCTGTCCATCCCGTTGGCCCTCCGTTCCTGGCGCTCTGTCCATGAGTGTTCCTCTGTCTGTCTGTCTGTCTGTCTGCCTGCTTATCCTCTCTGTCCATCCCGTTGTCCCCCTGTCCAGCCGTCTGTCTGTCCACCTGCTTGTTCCTCTGTCTGTCTGTCTGGTTGTCCGCTGTCCGCCTGTCTGGCTGCTGCCTTGTCCAGCTGTCCGTCCAGGTGTCTGTCCGTCCTGTCGTCCCTCTGTCCATCCCCAGCTCTCTGTCCATCCAGGTGTCCATCTGTCCGTCCATCCACGGCGTCCCCTTTGTCCGTCCTTCCGTCCAGCTGTCCGTCCGTCTGCCTGTCCCTCTCTCCATCTGTCCAATTGTCCGCCTGTCCGCCTTTATGTCCGTCTGTCCGACTGTCCGCCCACCCCTGGGAGGGAGTCCGTCTGTCCGCCCAGGGTCTCTGTCTGTCCGTCTGCCCGCCACTCCCCCCTTCCAGCTACCGGTGCGTCCGTCTGTCCGTCTGTCCCTCAAAATACCATCCC